TCTTTCTGGGGTGAGGTGGAATCTCACTGTTGTTTTCATCGGCATCTCTCAAATGACCAGTGATGTTGAACCTTTTGTCATATATTTATTTGCTGCTTTTACTTCTTTGTCTGAGAAATGTCTGTTCATTTCAGATGCCCATAATTCAGTGTACTGCTATGCTAAGAGGACAGAATTTGGATTCAGAGAAATTGAGTCCAACTGCCTGGAATTCAGCTTAGTTACATTTATAGTGGAGGATAAGACTTTGTTTCCTTTTTTATTTTTGGTACCGGGGATTGAACTCAGGTCCTTGTACTTGCGAGGCACATGCCAGAACCACTGAGCCAAATCCCCAGCCCCTAGACTTTGTTTCCTTGAAATTATTTTTTAAAAATTCTACTGGGAATCTAAAATATCCAGTTTATTTTACAGTTGATAGAATTTTCATGTCAAGTACATTCTAGAATGCAATGTTCATAGTAATTTCATGTGTGTTTCACAGTAAGTTAATAAACCACACAGAAAAAAATAAGTTTATGTTTTCACAGTCATAACTGACATGTTATGGCAGGAACAGATGTTAGGGTTACACTATAATAATTTGAATTGGCTACTTACTGTGGGTAGGAAGTTAAGCCTGCTCCATTTCATTATTTCCACATTTTCACAAAAGAAATCAAAATGATAGGGGAAAAAAGGTGAATTTCTATTTTTGTCTCTGTTGAAAATTTTGATCCATTCTTAATTGCCTTTATCACTATTATTTTCTCTCTTCTTGTATTTAAACATTGGTAATTACTTTTCAACAGTATAATTGCACTCACTTGGAATTTGTATAATTATAGCACACGTACCTTTTGAGGTTAGGTAAAGAAGAGCTTCTTTTTGTTGCTGGAGTATCATTGTACAGCTTTTGTTTTTCTTCAAAAGAATACAGACAAAATGAAGATAATGAAATCTTAATGAGTACACAATAAACTGAGCCAAAAGAAATAGTTACATAATTTGGATTTGTATTCAAATATCCACTTGTAAACTGTACCAATTTTAAGGCAACTTACATTCTTGTTTATATTTTTAATTTATAATAAATTTTAATGAAGTGTGTACAATATTTCAAGACCCTATCTATATATACCTTGGTTTATTTTAAAATTTATTATTAACAGATGTTAATTGTACAAATTAATGGGCTTCACTGTGGTATTTTTATACATGCACACATTATGTACTTATTGTAACTTGTTTTAGAAGAGTAATTTTATTTTATTTATTTGGGAGGGGTGTAACTGGGGATTAAACTCAGGACCTTGCACTTGCCAGGCAGGCGTGGGACCACTGAGACAAATCCCTGGCCCCAGAGGAGTGATTTTTTAATTGGTGCTTTATGAGTATATGGATGACTGAGCAGGACTATTGAGACTTCTACTCTCCCCATCTTCTGCTGAGACAATCACCTCTCTTCACTCTAATATCTCATTCTCTCCCACTTTGAGTTCAGGTTCAAAGACATTCTGACATATCATGATGAAAAATGTGTGTCCAAGAGTTGAAGTTTAAAGTAGGAAGAGACCTCAGGTCATCCAGTCTCTCTTCAGAAAATTTATTGCTGGCTCACAGTAAGTAGAAATTTTAAAATACTCTTCAATTGGTTAAGAATGTCTTAGGGACAGTATAATCAATGAGTCAATGTCTTTCTTTCATCTATGATTCTTCATTACACTTGCCCAGATAGCTTGTTCCATTAAGTAAACCTCTGTCAACAAGTTTAGGGATATTGAAGGCCAAGTAGAAGAGTATAGCAACAAAAATGTTTTAGATGGTGGGTGAATGGTTGAGGATCTGCCAAGCTCCTTTAGGAAAACATCAAAGAGATTTTCAAGCACATGTAGGCATCATTGGCTTTACTCACTGACTTGAATCAAAAATAATTTTTTTAACTCAACAGGCAACTAATTTATAATTACAATCACTTGAAAATATTTCACTTTGTTCCTGCCAAGCCCAAAATGAGTATTTAAAATTAAATATTAATTTTAAAATCAAAATTATATTAGCAATTTTTCCATTACAATTTGGAAATCCAACAGGACCATAGTTGAAGGTACAGTAACAGTTTGAAACATTTATAAAAGATTAGCTTTAAAATTAAGCGATTGGATTTAAAATTAAGAAATTGTTTTAAAAGGAAATTCTGATTATGGCACTGCAAATTGGCTTAATTAAGATGAAAAGAAAAAGCATGATTTCTTAGAAACCTAACTAATGGGTTCAAACACAAAGATTGTGAATTAATAGCTGATTAGGTTACCTAAGCAACAAAGTATGCGCGAAGGACAAGCTTACTACCAAAAGAGAACACAAAATAATGGCATAGATGGATACAAGAAAGGACTGGGAAGGGTAAAGTTAGATAAGCTGAGACTCACTAATCAGGCTAGAAAGGGCTTTGAAACATCAAAATGAAAATAATGCACATACAGCTTGAGCCTAATGATATTAAATAAAAGATAGAATGGAATAATAAGAATATAATACATAATAAAAGAATTATAGTAATGATGAATGAATACTAAGAAACTGAAATATTGTGAGCCTAATTTGTTTCCCATTTCTTTATTTTCTGGCTTGAATATTATAAGATGGAACTTTATGTTTTAATAAGTTCAAGTCCCGCCTGAAGTACATTACATCCTATGGGCATGAAAGAACTAATAAATACATTTAGTAGTTGAAACACTCTTAGGGACTGCAGAGGAATCATGCAAAACAGGAAAAGCACTAAACGACTGAAAATAGAGTAATATCATAATTTTCAAAGCAGATTCTTAAAACTGAAGACCAGATTCTGAAAATTATAGAGCTTATATCAGTCCTTGGCAAAATGCTAAGTAGAATTTAATCAGAAGAGAGGTATAGGTCTGTGGGAATTTCAAGCAGTGTGGAAATTTTAGGGACACTGTTCTCAGTCAGGAAATGTTCTCTGCCTCCTCAAAACACATGGAATTGACAGCTCATCCACCCTGCATCCTTTCTCTCAGTTCTGGAACAGTAAATTTAATTTTTTAAAGATCCAAATTACTGACAAGCTTCTGATTTATTTTTCAGGGTGTCACACAAGACACATTGAAAATGGTCAAAACAGTACAGCTAAATCTAAATCTATGTAAACTGAATTTTTCTTACCTTTGTTTATGAGAGGAACTTCCTTTTTCTCTTTCTTTAATGAAACATCAGCATCATTTTTATCCAAAACCTGAAAAACAATCTCTTTACTTAATACTATACAAAAACACAGAACATATTACAAGGCTGAGAGAAGACCCTGACGAGCAGTGCCAACGACCCAGAGAAGAGACTGCGATGCTGCCAGTAGTAGTTATTAGCATGTTTTGAAGGAGGAGAATGGGACATATTGTAGAAAGCAATATTGCCTTGCACCTCAAGGATGACTGTGTTATCAGTGTCCTGCTTACCACTATCATTTCTTTAAAAGCATCATCACATGTCTTCTACCAATACCTGTACAGATATTTTTTAAATTGACAAGTTGCATAGATGTAACAAAGACTCCAACAAGAGCCAAGTGTTGATTCACCAGGAGCACCTAGGGCCAAGACACATGATGGGAAAGCATATAGGGCCATAAGGTATTGGAACATGGGTCAGCCCATCCTCTGATGGGATTTTAGGGATGATACCTAAAAGGGGCTTCTCAGCATTCACGTTAGAGACAGGCTCTGGAAGGTTGCTGGTACCTGGAGTGATGGTGTACTAGTGTCATGTGAAGAGTGGAGATGAAAGTGGGGATAATAAGGATAGTGGGGGGTTGGGTATGTCACTCATAGTCATGTGAAAATCCTACAAGCTCCATTTTATAAGGCTCACTTAAAAAAACTTTATTATCTTTTAATACAGGTCTGGTTTTTTGCTTTTTTTTTAAGATAGCATCTCACTTTGCAGTCCAGGTTGGCTTTGAACTCATTCTGTAGCCCATGGTGGCCTCAAACTGGCAGTGATCCCTCTGCCTCAGACTCTCAATTGCTAGGATTACACTACTATGTGTACCTTAAGTATAGTTCTTTAGATGGTGGGGGAGAGGCTATGAGGATATGAACGTATGAACTATGCATGTGCAATTCAGGGAAAGAGAACCAGAATGTTTTCTTGATGTATTCTGGAAATCTTTGAGAAGGCAGAGAAAACAGGCATAAGGCAAATGCTCCTGCCTGCATCTGCATCTGAAGACCACTGAGACCCAACTAAGTGCCCCACCTCTGGTACTCACTATGCACAGCGGAGGTGTCAGTTATTTTGAAGCCTGCTCAGTAAATACGCATCCCTTGCTTTTCCAACTAACCTGCTAACCAAGCATGATATGGAGAGAGGTCAGCCTACCTATTCTTCCCCTTCCAGAAAACAAAGCCATATTTGAACATAACAATCTGGAAACTGCTCTGTCAGAAACCAGATTAAGTGGGCACACATGTAGCTTAGCAATTAAATAATTTTGTAGCAAGCTGCCCATCACTGCCATTTTTATTTAACGCAAGCAGAAAGCAAGAAAAGCCTTACAGATAGGAGACAATAAATAAAACTTCTTTAAAGCTACTGTTGTCCCTTTCAAAAAGTTTTATAGTTATACTATAAGTGTCTTGCTCCAGGAAGCAATAAAACCCATATTTTTAAAGGTTCATTTTGTAAAAAATATTGAAAGTGACTTTAAAATGTATGCCTTTATTTCTGTTGTAACATAAAATTTAAAGTTTTTTTCTGATGTACAAATATACAAAGAAAATCACATGATATTAAGTGTCTCCTATGTTGGACTAAATATTTTTTGACCAATTTATGAGGAGCAAAGACTATTTTTTTCCACCATACTTAGAAGTAACCACAGATAAGCGTATGAGAAGAACTACTTAATGGCTTTAGTAATAGTCACTTTGTTATAACCATGATAATTGTATTCACAATGTGTTAATTTTTCTTCAGTAAGGTTTTCTGATGATGAAATTGGACAAAAATAAGTATCCAAGTTTAACAAAAATGACATTACTCCCAGCAAAGAACATCTATTGTTAGTGTTATTAATGCAGCTGCATGAAATTAATTATTTTTGTATTCTACTGTTGAGTTCTCTCTCTCTTGAGGTCTTGCCTTGTTAGGGCTGTTTTTATTAGGATGATGTATATCCCTCATCTCAAAGATGTCGAGTGTACAAAGATTTATCATCTTTTTGGCAGGAGAAATATCTTGCCTTTTTCTTTCCTGTTTCTTCCTTATTCTTTTGATTAAAAGTACAGACATGTTTAAAACATATGTGGATAAATTCACTGGCTACAGTATTTTATTTAAACAGCATTGTGTAAATATCCAGTTTCATAAGACTCTGCCTTCTCTTAAACTGTAGTTATGGCTTTGAGCATGTGGGTATTTTCAAGGTGAGACAAGATACACAATGTTCTTTTGAAAAAAATGTTTTTATTGTACAAAACTCTTTCATATACACTAATTTGTTTCATCATAGAAATATTCTTCAGTCACTTAGGCTCAACTATCGTTTATGCTCTGCAGTTTGGGTGTATCTCTTTCCTAAGATTTCTACCTAAATAGGGAAACAGATAATACCTCCCACACAGTGAGAGTAAAATTAAGTCTTGACATGCGATTTAAGGCATTTTAGTCACAATTATGTTAACAATGAACAGGGTGAGAAATCTGTCTGCTCTCCAAGGGATAATACCACATACTCAATTTTGTAAAGTATCTATTTAAGAGGATAAATTATAAGTAAGTTAGAGAGAAGAATAAAAGAACATATCACAGGCAGCTCTATAACACCTATTTAACTGTTGTTAAGGAAACTTAGGAACTGGATGATATCACTTCAGCAGTTTTCCTTTCCTTCCGTTTTCTGCCCTCCTACCCTCAACCCAAGTGCATACTATTATGCACATGGACTCATAAAAGCTGCCAGATCAGTAAATGCCTATCTGCCAAATTCAACAACCCGTTCCCTTTTTAGATTTCCACAGTTAACACTGCATTTTAAGCCTCAGCTCTTCATTCATTAATTTTTTTTGGATAAAATTGAGTTCCTAGTGTGGGAGCTGTTGTAGAGAAGAGTGCCAAGTCTTGTCTTCAAGGAGCTTATCTTCTAGTGAAGGGAACAGATATTAAATAAGAAGATAAATGTGTAGTATAATATCAGGTAAAGTACATTCTGTGAAGAAAAAGAACACAAATGAGAGTGAAGCTGAAATTCCTGCATAATCTGACCCAGTTGCTCCGTTCTCACCCCACACCTTCCACTCCTCTCCAAACACATTTCCATTGACATACCAACCCATTCCTCTGGTGACCTGCGGCTTATTGCATGTTCTAGGCTTGCCCACCCCTGACTTTCTCTGGGCTTTCTGCAAATATCTGCTCCATGGGGCCATCCTTGAACATTCTGCCTACAATCCCAACTCACGTTTACCACATCCCAACACAGATGCAGTACTTCCTCTCCCTATTTTCTTGGCTCACTTTGCTCCTAGTGCTTACCACTATCTGCCACACAACATATTTTACTTGTTCATCTTGTTTATTGTCTGATCCCCTCAAGAGAATGGAAGCTGCACAGAGGTAAGAAGTATTGTCTGCTTTGTTTTCCCCTGCTGTGTCCCCAATATCTAGTAGAGTAACTGACCATGCAGTGAAAAAAAGAAAGTGAAAAAGCAAGTCATGAAAAGACCTGTGTTATTAAGTTATGCTGAGGAAGATTCAGGTAGCGAATGAAGTCTGGGTAAGGAAAAACAAAGGAAAAGGCTTAGGCTTATATTACATTCTCTCTCATTTGTGCTATTTTTCTTCAAAGAAATTCCATTATTTGATAATTATATTGCTTTTTTGTCTTTTTACTTATTAATATTTTGCAAGCTTTTGGGACCCAAGGAAAGCTGGCATAGCTACAGTAGACTGAGAGAAGGGATAGGTAGTGAAGTTGAGATCCCGAAAGACATCAAGTAAGGTCATCTGGGGTCTTGAAGGCAAAGGCAAGCATACCAAATTTGTTCTAAGGGTGAGAGGGTCATGGCAGGCCTTGGAGAAGGAGAAAAATATCATATTACAAATATTGCAGATGAAAAACTACAATTTTTAGATCATGGAGAACAACAGAAACTGCTGTCATTGCCCTGGTAATAGATGTTGGTGAGGTATACAGATGTTAAGATAGGTCTTATGAGTAGAGGTTGATTCAGAAGACTGGAGGTGGATTGAGTGCAGGTTATGGAAGGAGAAGAGAAATTCTGGATGAACCCCAGTTTTGGGCCTGAGGAACTGAATGGTGGGCCCTTTACTGAGTTAGGGGAGCACGAGGATGTCTCTTGGAATTCTTCCTTCCCTTGATCTGTGTAGCCCTTTAGGTTTCAACTTTCTCTGGATAATTTATTCTTTTTCTGTCTACTCTCAATCCTTCAATTAATCTTTTAAAAGTTCATGGGACTAAACTAGCACACTTTATGCAAACAATGACTCCATCAGCATCATCAACCCCAACTTCCTTTGCTTCAGCTATTTCCAACTGGATGACTCTAACACTCAAATATTTTGCTGAAACTTCAAATCCGTAGTCTTATTTTTGTCCAGCTACTCAGATTGCCCTGGTCACCTGTCCTCTTCCTATCTATAACAAAATTTTTCCAGGTTTCTATCTCAACACTAGCTTCTTTATTCAGCCTTCCATACTCCTAACCATGCTGTGCAATTTTCCCCTCCAATTTTCTTGTTTTCCTTGTCTCCTTACACTACTACTTTTTCTTTTTTTAATTCAATAAGTTTATTGGTACATTTTAGGTATACAATAGGATGACATTCATCATTAGGAATTTGTACCTTTACATGGTATATCTTGGTTCTTATTTTTTTCCCCTTTCCTCTTTCCTCCCTTCAACCCCTCCACTCCTCCCTATTTACAAAGACTTTGTTTCCATTTTCTCATTTTCTCATATTTTTTCCTTTCCCTTCTTTCCCCTACCCCTCCTAATTGCCCTTTCCCTTTGGACATTTTCTTGCTATTTCACATTATCTATTTTACATTTTGATCTTTATTTACACCAGAGAAACTATTTGGTATTTACATGTGTGTCCTATATATCTCAATTAAGAGTATGGCCTCCATGTGCATCTATTTAGCTATAAATGTCTCTAATTTCTCATTCTTTATGGCTGAGTATTATTCTATTTTATTTAAAAAAAGACCACATC